GCGGCGACCAACTTTGGTGTAAGTGCTGATGAAGAGAGGAAGTATTTTGGAAAGGCAAAAATTTTAACCTTTCTTTGCAGAAAGAAAAGTTCATCAAACTGCTCGATCAGCTACACAACTCACTGCGCATTGACCTGTCGATGTACAGGGTAAGTAGAGGGTGAGAAAGTGGTTAACTACTTTTGACCTTCTTTTCTACCATAGAACAACTTCCCCTCTGCGTCACCGGAGAAACTGCAAGACCTAAAGGCCACCATTGATCTCCTCACTAGTATCACATTCTTCCGCATGAAGGTGCTGGAGCTGGCAAGTCCACCACGAGCCTCCATGGTAGTGAAAGACTGCGCCAAGGCTTGCATTCGACAGACGTACACGTGTCTTTTTGAGAACTGCTACGAACTGTACCGAAACCAAATGGAAACGGAGAGGGGCAAGCTGGAGCCGGAAGAGGTGACTGAAAGCGAGAAGGGGCCCAGTCTGCAGAACCTCGAGTTTTGGATCAGACTGATCACCCTCATTGTCTCTGTTATCGAGGAGGACAAGAATCTCTACTCACCGGTGCTCAATCAGTGAGTTTTCTACTTCTCTTTGTACAAATCTCTAGTCAACTAACTCATTTTGTTGTAGATTTCCCTCTGAGCTGAACATTGGCCACCTGAGCATTGAGACAATGTGGTCGCACTTTAGTGTGGACATCAAGTACGCACTGGAGGAGCACGAACAGCACCGCCTCTGCGCCAGTCCAGTGTACATGAACTTTCACTTTAAGATTAAGTGGTTCTACAATACATACTGCAAGGATGTGCCCGCACTGAAAACTGTCATCCCCGAGTATCCAATGTAAGTTTTAGAGTGTTTTTATACGTTCGAGTGAAGCTGATAAACTACTAAAAATTTTCAGTTGGTTTGAGCCTTTTGTAATGCAATGGTTAAATGAGAATGACGACTCTTCACTGGAAATTCTTCGCAACGCCTTCATTCGCGATGCAGAGGATGGCGTAAGTAGTAGTGATCGAAAGGAAAAAACTTGAGGTTAATTTGCCATATTTTTGACGTAGTTTCAACAAAGCTCCGAGCACTCACTCTTCTCGAACTCAGTGGTCGACTTGTTCACCCAGTTGACGCAGTGTTTTGACGTGATCAACAAGCTCGAGTGCCCTGATCCAGAGGTGGTGAAGCGTTACATGAAACGCTTTGCAAAGACAATAGTCAAGGTGCTCATTGGTTACACTGACATTGTCAAGAAGGAGTTTGCTAAATACGTCAAGGATGAGAAGAAGGTAATAGACAACCCGATTTACATGAGTTGAAGGAGTATAAACCAACTTTTTATGTTCAAAATCAGGCTTGCGTTCTCATGAACAACGTCCAACAGCTACGCATTCAACTGGAGAAGCTCTTTGAGTCNCATAAGTTGAAGGAGTATAAACTCACTTTTTTTTGTAAAATTAGGCTTGCGTTCTTATGAACAACGTCCAACAGCTACGCATTCAACTGGAGAAGCTCTTTGAGTCGATGGGCGGCGAGAAATTGGAGCAAGACACGAGCAGCATTCTCACCGAGCTTCAGCAAACGCTAAACTCTATTCTTGACGTTCTCAGCGGTATTTTTGCAAAAAGGTACAAATGGATGAGTTGTTATCTCTTTGAAACTATAGCTTACCCTTTTTATTCATTTGCACAGCCTCGATGACACCATTCGCCAGAGCACACAAGAGATGGGCGTGCTGCTGTTTCAGGTGAAGAACACCAACGCCGCTCAGTCAAAGCAGGCTCTGAAGAACAGCGCCGAGATCTCCGCCTGTGCCGACCAGATACTCATACCGATGCTCGACCTGCTCGACAAAAAGTTGACCAACTACGCTGAGGCCTGCGAGCGAACGGTGCTAAAACGGGTGCTTAAAGAGCTCTGGAAGATTGTCGTCACGGGCATCGAGAAGTACATTGTCCTGCCGCCAATGGAGAAGAGCAATCTGCTGCCTAATCTACCCAACACAAAGATCGAGGACGTCTCAAGGCTCCTGAAGACGAGCAAACTGCCTACGCTGAATATGATCGAGGTAGGGTTTAGGGGTTAGTAGTTTTGGAACGACACTAAAGCTTTTGCTTTCCTTTGCAGAATCTTCAAGGAGCAAAGAGCTTGTCGCCAAAGCATTGTGCCATTCTCGAGGAAGCACTGGAGTCAATTAAGTTGTACTTTCACGCCAATGGCAACGGCTTGAAGAAGTCCTACCTTGACAAGAGCTCTGAGCTACAGTCGCTGAAGTACGCCCTTTCACTGTACACACAGACGACTGACTCACTCATACGGACCTTCATTTCAACTCAGAAAAATCAAGGTGTGTAAACTTTTTACCCAGAAGGGTTTGGTTACTAAACATTTAATGTCTGCAGACTTGGCCACACAAGAGGACGGTCCAGTTGGTGAAATCTCAATTCAGATTGATCTTTTTACGCACCCGGGATCGGGTGAACATAAGGTTACGGTGAAAAGTAAGTTCAGTTTGTTTTTGTCTAAATTAAACTAAAATGTCTCCACAATTACCAGTAACCGCCTGCAACGAGTTGAAGTGGCCCGTCAACACAATGTTCAAGCCCTTTGTGGAGATCAACATGATCGGTCCTAATCTGAGCGACAAGAAGCGCAAGTACGCCACCAAGTCAAAGCACAACAACTGGTCACCGGCGTACAATGAAATTTTCTACTTGTAAGTGCTTGCGATTTGCCAAGTTTTAGAAATTCCTCATCACCATCCCTTATCTCCATTCTAGTCTCATCGGCAACGAGAATGAGGTGTCCACTTTTGAGCTACACTTTGCCGTGAAGGACTACTGTTTTGCGCGTGAGGACCGCCTGGTGGGCATTGCCGTCATTCAGCTGAAGGACATTGTCGACCAGGGCAGCTGCAGCTGCTGGCTGCCACTCGCCAAGCGCGTTCACCTCGATGAGACCGGGTGGACCATACTGCGCATCCTATCACAGCGAACAAACGACGAGGTCGCCAAGGAGTTTGTTCGTCTCAAGTCGGACGTTCGCAATGATTCAGTCATGGGCGGAGGTGGTGGTGGTGGTGGTGGTCATCCTCAGCAGCAGCAACATCAACATCAGCCGAATCAATAGCAGCAATGTTGATACCACCATCCAACACACGAACAGCTTCAACATGTACAATAAACCACTTGTCGTCCACTTTGTACATAACCTTCTCTTTCCCAACATCACCACCCTATTGTGCCCTCGGACAAAGCAGACACCAAGTTTTTGGGGTGTTGTTGCTTTGTCCACCACACCCATTCTTCTTACTACTTTCTTCTGTGTGACCTCTCCGCTTGTCTTTCTCTTCATTCCTTCCTTTCTTTCTTTCCTTCCTTGCTTCGTGTTGTGTGAACTTCAAACTGATGATCTTATATCTTTTGCAATAATTGCTTTCCTTCCTTATAATGTATTTCCGCGAATGAATATTGAAAATAAACACAAAAACTGATTTAATGGCAAACACCGTTTGTTTTATTGGAAATAAAAAGAACACACACACATGAAAAGGACAGTTAAGTATACAGTGAATCAAATTATTTCTTGANTGAATGAATATTGAAAATAAACACAAAAACTGATTTAATGGCAAACACCGTTTGTTTTATTGGAAATGAAAAGAACACACACACACATGAAAAGGACAGTTAAGTATACAGTGAATCAAATTATTTCTTGACAAATTCAATGGGAATCGAGCGTTCCTTGTTCTCCTCCACCTGGGGCACCTTCAGCGGGGCCTCCATCTTCAGGTAGCCCTTGTTGTCCAGCTGACACTTCAGCTCCTCCGCCTTGACGTTCTCCGGGACGCTGAAGTGCTGCACGTACTCGCGGTAAATGTAGTGGCCATCATCGCTTTTCTTCTCGCGCTTACCAGTGATCTGCAGCGAGTCCTTGTCCATTTTCACCGAGATCTCCGACGGATCGAAGTGGCGCATGTCCAGNTCTTGACAAATTCAATGGGAATCGAGCGTTCCTTGTTCTCCTCCACCTGGGGCACCTTCAGCGGGGCCTCCATCTTCAGGTAGCCCTTGTTGTCCAGCTGACACTTCAGCTCCTCCGCCTTGACGTTCTCCGGGACGCTGAAGTGCTGCACGTACTCGCGGTAAATGTAGTGGCCATCATCGCTTTTCTTCTCGCGCTTGCCGGTGATCTGCAGCGAGTCCTTGTCCATCTTCACCGAGATCTCCGACGGATCGAAGTGGCGCATGTCCAGCGACACCTGGTACTTGTTGTCCTTAATGGTGGGCACTGCCAGCTGATGGCCGAAGGAGTTGCCGAAGGTGGACAGCTGTCCTCCACCTCCTCCTCCGCCACGGGGCATCAGGTAGTCCAGTGGGTAGACGAGAAAGTCGTCGTTGTCCAGCGTGTCCATCAACGAGCGGGTGAATCGAGGAAGAGAAAGCATTTTGCGGGGTTGAAGAGGGTGAGTTTGGTGAGAGAATTTGAAGAGTTTGTAGAGAGCTTGGGGAGATCGTTTGATCAGTTCTTTTGCGCTTGAATGCTTCAGTGCAATGCCACTGCTGCAGTCGCGCCAGACTTATATACTGCTGGCGGCTGCGTGCAGGCACTGCCGAGACTGCTCTCTACAGTTCTAGCTCTTTCCTGCAACATCGACCCTCCTCCTGCAATTTCTTGTCTACCAAAAAAAGTTGCATTGCAGGATACCTAATTGCCGAGTTGATCTCAGCACTGCAGCAGTGAGCACGGTTCAGTGAGCACATCGACTGATGCAGCTGAGGCGTCCCATTCTGGCCAGGCCGGCCATTATCACTGCATTTACTGCACTGCTCATGTTTACCAGACTTTTCGCGCGCATTCGCCCCCTGCAACCTTGATTGCAGAGGGCAGTACCAGCAATACGCTGTTTGCAACTGCCACTGTCACTTTACAGCACCCGAATTGCAAGCAATAAACAAACACACACAGTGTCGGCGATCACGTCAGCCTGGTGTGCGATTCCTGGAAATCTTGGCGGACGTGATCGATAGCAGCCAGTGACAGAACAAGGCAGAGGAAGATGTTTAAAAGCTTTGGGCCCCAGCCAAAGCTTGATACCGATTTAGAAGTGATTGAAACAGTTACTATGATGAATTCGATACTTTCTTTTGACTTTATTTTGTTTGAAAACTAAAAAAGTGGAAACACGGTGTAAAAAATTGTGACTACCAGAAGTGGTAGCTGACACATCGGTCATCATCGTCATCGGCTGAACAAAAACACTGAAGTCGGTAACAAAAGGGCAAGTAGTTAAACGTTGATTATCAACAAACAAATACTGATACAAAGAAGCAGACAAACAGAAACGGACAGGTGGGCGGATCAAAGAGAAGAAGAAGGCAAGTGGAGTGGAGCGAAATGGTGTGACCAGTGTGGCAACTGCTGCATCAGCTGCTTCAATCAAGTATATCATTGCCCAGTACCGGAGTACCACTCGTCGTCGTCGTCATCATCAACTCGGTGCACTGCTCAACGGTAACTGGTTTCCGCAGCCGACCGAAGGTGCATTGACTGCCACTCTTGGTCGGCTTCTCCGTGGCTTTCCACAGGCAGACTATGGCCCGAGAGCGGTAGCCATTTCGATTGCACTTCAGTGGAGAACAAGAACAAGCATAAGTGGTCAAGAACAAGAACAACATTGGGCACAACAACAACAAACAGAAACCTACCGGACTCCAGCCTTTGGCCACCCACTGTGCGATACAGTTGGCATTGGCGCACTGCTGCGTCTCTGCCGGCTTCTCGCCGGCCACCGCCGCCAGGCAGTGTCGCTCCTCGAGGACCGTTCCATTGGGTAGCATGCAGTTCACCGCTCGGGTTCGCTGGCCTAGGTGGTGGTCCAGGCAGTCGTCGCACTATGGAAGAGATAAAGATGAATTATGAAAGTCACATAAACAAGTAAATATGATCACCGCTTTACCTCCGACCACTTGCCCGCCTTCCAGAATGAGCACTCTGCAAAGCCGCAACGTTCCATTGATTTGGGTCGTGGCAGTTTGGCACGACCACCGGTGCAGTGAGAGCTATCCACCGCCTGGGTGACATTGTCCAGCTTCACATAACACACACTTAGTCGCATCTGAGGATAAAGAAAAAGGTAAGTTTTATCATGAAGAAAACGATGATGATGAAGTCCACTTACTCGAAAGCCGATTCCACCACAGGGAATAGTGCACTTGGACCACTCAGAGGTGATCCAGGCAAAGGTGCCCTCTCGAAGCATCTGACTCAGTGGAATGCCAGTTTTCTGCGCCTTGGATTCCTCAGCGTTTTCATCTTCAGGTAAAAGAAGATTACTGCCACTGTCTACATCAACTTCATTCAAACTAGTATTTGGCGTTGGTGGTAGTGCTGCTTTCGGGCGATGATTTTGATGGTGAGGAGACTGATGACTATGTAGTGGTGGTGATTGTGGTAGTCGCCTTTGAGCCGTGAGCTCCCAAGAATCCTCCGAATCGGCAATTATATTCGATTGAAGAAGTGTAGTAGGTGGCGATTCTTTGCGGGTTGATAAGGATGATAATAGCGGGTCAGCGTTTTTCTGAGAAGGCAGCACGTAATCACCGTTTCGATAGCGAGAGTGTGCCTCTTCGGAAAGATCAAGCTCACTCTTGTAGTAGGCGACCTTGTTGTTGCTGTTGTTTGGCTTCTTAAAACCAGATGATTCTCTATCACTCATCTCACCATTTCCAAACTGTTCATTAGGACGACTTTCAATGGCATCGGTCTTACGCTTAACATAGAGAAACATCGAGTGCTCATCCGTCTCTCGGTCTTCCGTCCAGCACTTGTAAACAGCACTGTCGCTCACTTTGATGTTCTTTATCTTGAGAAAGTTGCGCACCATGTGATGTCTCTTTCCACCATTCACCAGCCGTTCGTTGCCTTTGCTCCAGTGGACGCGAGGTCCTTGGAATGCCAAGTAGTCCTCTTCGGGTAGATCAGCGGTTTTTCCACCTGTCCGCTTGCGCCACTCAGGACAGCGCAGTTTGACAGTGCTGCCTTCGATGACGGTCGCCTTTCCGGCCACCTTCACCGTCGTCACTTGCTGTTGATGGTGGGGGTGATTGTGATTGTGATTGTGATCATGAGTTGAGCCACCAGCGTCCGCAGCAACAGGACTTCCAGTCGGCAGAGAGCTGTGATTGCGTTTGGACTTTCTCGACAACTCGCTAGTGCTGTTGCCTCCCTTGAGATCTCTCACGGAGGAAGATGAGGACGCAGACACCTCATATCGACAGTGACTCGCCTTGCAGACCTTGATTCCTCTTGGCTTCTTCCTGGCCAGGCACTCCGTCTCTGAAACCTCGCCCTCTCCGCCGAAAGCCAGCTCTTTCACGCAGCGAACCGACCTCCTCTTAACGCCCTTTCCGCAGTCCGTCGAGCACCGTGACCAGTGACCATGTCGCCATACGGGCGGGCAGTCCACCTGATTGCATGGCTGCTCAGTCGGTGGCATAGTGGCTTGATTGCAGAGCGTCTCCGGCAGGACGACCACATTGGTCGAGCCTCTGCTCACCTCGTGCACACACCGAATGATTCTCGCCTGCGTGCCGCCTACACCACAGGGTCGTGAGCACTCGCCGAATTCAGTGGCGTTCCATCTGTTGAGAAAAAATAATCGATGATAAGTTGATTCTTTTTTAAAGCTCAATTTTTCCCCATACNAAAAATAATCGATGATAAGTTGATTCTTTTTTAAAGCTCAATCTTTCCCCATACCTCGGTGGACACGGCTGGTCGTTGCACGTTCTCGTAAACAACTCTGGTTCATTCTGCCCACTGCAGTAGCCAGAGTCAACGGTGACATTGTCTGCCAGACGGAAGCAGGAATATATGGAATCTTGCGTTCCTAAACAAAAAAGCGTTTATTAGAAAACAATCCACTATTTAATGTCATTATACCTCCAAGACACCGGTGTGAACAGGTGGTGTAGCCGGACACTTTCCAAGAGTACAAATGTACTTTTGGGTGGTGCTGAACAGTTGCTGCCGCCATGGCAGTGGTCGGTGAAGTTGAAATCGTCTCATTGAGCACCTGATACGACAGCTCCACTTTGGGTCTTTGAGGCCGGTCACTGGTGATCATGAACTCGAGTTGATTGAGCTGCTGAGGTTCACTGGCCACAGCTGAGGGCGCAGAAGCGGCGACAACGCCCTCTTCTCCCTGACAGCGTTCCTCAGCAGAGCACTCCTCCACTTCTGCTGGCTTTTCGCCGCCGTTTTCTTCCTCTCCGAGACACTCACTTTCCGGAATTGTCAGCTCAGTCTTTGAGTACTCTAGGTAAATCTTGCACTCCACAGTGCGACTTCGATGACCAATGCCACAGGAGGCGTTACAGGAGGACCAAGGACCGACGATGAAGCTGATATTGCAAAAGAAGATTTAATTAGACTAGCACATTTGAGAAAAAACAATTTTACCTTGGATGAGTGCTAATGGCCTTGGGAAAGGAAGGCGAATCCTCCTGAGAGTTGACCGCCGTTTTCCCGTACAAACACTTGGAAATGTCAGAGCAGTTTCGTTGACTAGCTGGCTTCAACTCTGGTTCACATTCGTCACTGCAACACAAAAAAAGTAATACAAACTTTATTTTGAGAAATAACTCAAAGCAAAGTGCCGCCAAGTGCAAAAGTTGTTAGGTTACCTTGGAAATCCCTGAAAATCCCGGCAAACGACTGGCCTCTGCTGCGTGCCGTTGCCACAGCTTTCAGAACACTGTCAAGCAAGGAGAGAAAGGGAAAAGAAAGTGTGTTTAGAGCCAAAGTTTTGCTGTTGATGATCAACACCGCTGNGTTAGGTTACATACCTTGGAAATCCCTGAAAATCCCGGCAAACGACTGGCCTCTGCTGCGTGCCGTTGCCACAGTTTTCAGAGCACTGTCAGGCAAGGAGAGAAAGGGAAGAGAAAGTGTGTTTAGAGCCAAAGTTTTGTTGTTGATGATCAACACCGCTGACTGACCTCTGACCAGAGTCCCTCGTACCACTGTGGACAGTCCTCGGTGTTGCACTTTTCTTCAGAGGGCGGCTTTGAAGTGTCGGAGCACTCTTCATCAGGCAGCACTCGTGGGATCGGCTGATGCTGTCCGTCAGGTGTCAAGGTCATCGGGTAGGCGCAGGTCACCTGACGAGTGCGCCTCCCACTGGAGCACCGCTTGTCACAGGCGGTCCAGTTACCGGTGAGCCACCTGTTGAGATGTCAAGAGGAGGAAGAAAATGATGATAATTTGTGGTCATTTTCCCTCTTTCTCTACTACGTCTTCATTCCTCTATTCACTCATTTGCATGAATGTATGCTGAGGATCATCATCATCATCACCATCAATTCAGGTAGACAGAAACTTACGTCGGCGGGCACTCAAAGTCGTTGCAGCTTCGCTGCATTGATCGAGGTTTCATTTTTGCATGGCAGAAGATGTCATCCACTGTGCTGCCCGTATCCTCGTTGCGACAGGAGACGCTCGACAGTTGCACGCCTAAACAGTGGAGAGGAAACAAATTGAAACATTAGAGGCGTGGTGAAAGTGTCAGATTCGTTCGTTTGCAGTTCGACAAATTGAGAGGTTAAAACAAAGAGGAAGATTGTCAGGGAAAGTTTAGTAGCAGTCAATAACAATGGTAGCATCAGCAACAGCATCAGCAAGTGTTTACCTCCTCCGCAGGCATGCGAACAATTGCCTTCGTAGTGGTGCGCCCAGGCGTACCGGTACTTCAGACAGGAGCTACCGTCTCCTCCGCAGATGCCGCAGTCATCAATTTTCGCCAAAGACCCTAACTGCAGATCGCAGCCCACACTCTGCAGCAATTCAAAAGAGGAAAGAGTTACGGAAAGGCAAAACAGAAACAGTTACGTCGGAGAACATGTTTCCTGGACTTACCAGACACCGTCCGGCGACGCACATGTCGAGGGCGCCCGGACGACAGCGGGTGCCGTCCTTTGCGGAGACGGCCAACTGCGCTACAAAGTGGAAGCCTTTTGCCCGACATGTCAGACTGCAGGGGTCAGCCGGGTCGATGAAGGGCAGCCACTCGTAGAACCGCTCTCTGTACGGAGCCTTGTTGAAATGAGCACACTGGCTGGCACGAAAGTCGCTCGACGTTGGCTGGCAAGGCTGCACAGTGCCACAAAATTGGCAATGGAAATGGCGAGGTTGATTAAAGATTATGAAAAGGGAAAAGAGAAGAAGAAAGAGGATTCTAATTAGTGAGATTGATTGCCACAGCAATTGTATTACTACTGCTATTTTCTTGAAGTTGCCTACCTGCATGTTGCATATGGTGTAGCGTTCAGCCTTGCCGAGGCACTCCGCCTTTGGAGAAAGGCACTTTCGCAGCGACACCGAGATTCCGCCGTCGCAACTCCTACGCGNCACGAAAGTCGCTCGACGTTGGCTGGCAAGGCTGCACAGTGCCACAAAATTGGCAATGGAAATGGCGAGGTTGATTAAAGATTATGAAAAGGGAAAAGAGAAGAAGAAAGAGGATTCTAATTAGTGAGATTGATTGCCACAGCAATTGTATTACTACTGCTATTTTCTTGAAGTTGCCTACCTGCATGTTGCATATGGTGTAGCGTTCAGCCTTGCCGAGGCACTCCGCCTTTGGAGAAAGGCACTTTCGCAGCGACACCGAGATTCCGCCGTCGCAACTCCTACGCGGCATTATTAAAATAATATAGTAGGACAATTAGATTTCGATGTGTTTTGTGTTGTGTGTACATAAAACTATGCTAATGAAGTAGACCGCCAACGATCATCCGCTACTACTGCTGCACCTTCTAACGCTACTACATTACCTCGAACAGGGCGACCAGTCGCTCCAGTTGGACCACTGAACTCCATCGCCACCGTTGAGTCCTTGGAGGTGGAGGTGGTGGTGATTGTGGTGGTGGTGCTTGTTGGTGCTGCTGCTGGCACCACCACCATCTTCGAACCTTGGCGCCTGAGAGACGTCTAAGCAGGTGTGACTANGGGCGACCAGTCGCTCCAGTTGGACCACTGAACTCCATCGCCACCGTTGAGTCCTTGGAGGTGGAGGTGGTGGTGATTGTGGTGGTGGTGCTTGTTGGTGCTGCTGCTGGCACCACCACCATCTTCGAACCTTGGCGCCTGAGAGACGTCTAAGCAGGTGTGACTAGAAATGATTGTGAATATCTGTAAAGGACGGAAAAAGAAGAAAAGAGACCATTGTTCAAGTTATATTCACTGGCATCAGCATCACAGTGACCAAGTTATTGGTCGAACACGGAAGTAGGCGCAAGCGAATGCTACTTGCTCTACAAAGTTTACACCACAGTTTTTGATGATCACTGATGATCGGTGTCTTTGGGTCGAGTGAAAGAACAGAAGCGGATCGATCTATCCTCGGAGATGGTCGGCAAATGATTTTGCCGTGAAGAAGTGCAAAGTTTGCCGACCAACAGAGACTAGTAGAACACTCACTGGAACAGACAAACAGTACACATTCGAAAACTGATCAATCGATCAAACACACAAATACAGACACCAACTCTCCTTTTCTATAAGAACCATCGACCACGACAGACTGCCTGCGCTGTTTACAGTAGTAATATGAGTGTGTATGTTTGTGCAATGCGTGTAATTACTATTAATAGAACTGTAAAACTGAAGAAACTGTTCTCGGAACAGGAGTCACGAGTCGCAAAATCCTCTACCGCCACCCAACCACCCACCCACCGCCCTCAATCAATTCTTTTTTGTCACTGCTTAAATCGATTTCTCTTGATGATGACAGGAGAGCTCAGGAAGAGTCGTGATAGATGAAAAATAAATAAAAAACCTCACTGCTGTTAGAGTGAAAGCGGGAAGTTGTCAAATCAAACAAGAATTTGTGTGCATGCTAATTTACAACTCGCTGGTGCAAAGGAACTTCATAATTATTAATATGTAAAGTGCAAGGGATGAAAACGGAAAAGACTGCAATGGAAAAGGAAAGGCAGCTGCTGTTGCCGCTGTAAAGGATCGTGCAGAATCGATCAATAGGCCATTGGCACAAAACAGAAGGGAAAGGCTATATAGCTTGCGCTAAAAAATTTGCTGCTTTTTCTGTTGCTACAATGAAGAAAAAGAAGAAGAAGTTAACTGAAGAATCAAACAATAATGACAGCAACAACAGCGGCAGCAGTCAGTCCTTTGACTTGGGTGAAAGTCAGTGGTGATGGTGTGATGGGGTACTGTCTGCTGGTGATGGTCACGTCGTGGCCATTTTTCAGAACAAGAGTTGATGCAATGAATGCGTACGAGAACAGGCAAATTGGCCTTCATTGCTTAATTGCTAATTACTCGCTTTTTCATTGAGGCACCACAAGGAACCAGCATCATTTGCAAACAAATGGCAGGCGAGCACCATTGCTTACATTTAGCACACATGTGAACATTACTCTAAACATGGCGTTTCCCTCTTTCCTTTCAAGAAAAGGAAATTAAAAAGACGAAGCAGCGCTTTGAATAAAACTGCACAGTCAGGCACGAGCACTACTAATCGTCACATAAATTGTGTGAATACGCCTCTTGCGTGAATGTTTTTAAGTTATGAGTAATTGAAAGGTAGCTGACAAGAAATTA